ATATATAATTATCATAAATCACATAATGGATCTTTTGATCTCGCATTAGATGTAGGAACTGGTACAGGACAAGCCGCTAATATTTTATCGGATTCATTCAATAAAGTTTATGGTATCATATAAAAATTTGGTATAAATTTTTTTCGTGTAACAATTAAATCACCCTGTAAATTGCTTATATGATTTGTATATACCATTGCTAAGTATATAACAAAAATAGATGTCCAGCTCTAACCGTACCATAATTCAAAGTAATATTTTGTAATAATTAATATTAAATCTCTACGAAAAAAGTTACGAAGCAAATTTTTATATTTAAACAAAAAAAACTCTTACAATTCGGCTTATATTCAATATTTTAATCTTGAAAAATCAGAATATATTAAAAATAAAGGATTTGGACCAAATATTTATAATATTATTTAAAAGAAGGCTTCGTAACTTTGTTATTATATTGTGTAAGAAACTTTTAGTTTTTAGAAAACTTCAAAAAAGAAAAAAATTCGGCCTGTATATCTAAAAAAATTTAGATTGTTTTCATATTTATTTCGTATATATGTATGATTTTCGAAATGATCAAATATTTAGTTAAAAATAATTTAATAATTAAATGTTAAGGTGACCTTATATAGATTTGATTTACTTAGATGAGGCACAAACCCATTGTTGCATGATTATTTACATTAGTATTAATCATTTTATAATAATAAACTGGGATTGACATTTACAAAATTTTATTTTAACACAAAAAGCATATTATTAATGGTAATTTAATCAAATCTTTAATACAACATTTGAAAGCCGTTAAAGGTAAATCTTAGGTTCCTTTTATACAGTACCGGACAGTAAAACGCATTCAATGTTTATTAGTAAAAACTTTAAAGTGTTATAACTTTTTTAAAACAAGTTAAATCAAAAACCCCTCTGACAAATTGATAGGTTTTTAGATAAACTACATTTCTGTCAGAGGATTTTTTTTAATTCCTTGTTTTGAAAAAGTTATAAAGGACTAAAGTTTATATGAGTTCAAAAAATTGGCGTTTAATATAGAGAAAAGAAATACATATATATTTTTTTACCCAATACACAACAATTCCAGTAAATCCCCTACGGTTCTTAATCCAATCGATTGCATGATCAATAGATGGGGTTTAGGTAAAAGCTATGATAGGACCCGAAATCGAGATCATGTTTGCAATGTGTAAGCTTGATTCCATTCTTACTGATAGCTTGGGCGCTTTGTTGATTCGTTGCGTGAAAGAAAGCACGGTAGGTACTACACATCGTATTAGCATCAGCAACTTTCGTATTGCTGCTTAAAAAGTCATCTATTCTAGTAGCGATTTCTTCATATGACGAGGCAAACATTTGTGGCCCACCCTTTCGATCATAATTGATCCATTGGTTGCGTGGAAATTGTGTATCATAGAAAATATCTTCGAAGCACAATCGAGAGAAGGAACTCCACGGATTATGAATCCATTCAAATAACCAATGATACAAAATCTGCTTAGACCAGATGATATCATCACACACACTATTACGGAGTTCGCTTGCGGCTTCCTCTGTAAGACCCCACTTCACAAGTAATCTTTTATCTTCACCTGATGCTATCCCACTTACACCACTTCCCTCGATGCCAACGAAGATTGTTGGATCCAACCGCTGGCGTTCTTCTAGAAAATCGAACATAAGTTCCGCATTTGTCCTGAGGTCAAGATGAACTTCCCCCTCTAGAAAGGATCTAACAAGACTTTCTTGAAAGCCGCAGTCAACAAAATAGGCAGTGATCTCAGAAAGAAGGGGGTTAATGGTATTATTTGAATCTTCAGGTAATGTAGCTTCATGTACATTTGGATTATAACCATGCGAAGACATGCTTGAATCTTTTGGTTTTTAAAATCGCCCTGTTAATATTATAGGGAATGTTGATACAGTAAAAGACATCCAATCTATATATAGAGGCGCCAATTTTTTGATGCTTATATAATCAATTCTGATTGGCTAATTTTTGTGTAATTGATTCTGATTGGTTAAAAAAATATA